GAGAACCGCCTTCCAATACGGATTAAGTTCTCAAGTCAAGACCCCACTGTACACCGCAGGCCAAGTAACACAGTCCAACTAACTATTCACTACTGGTGGTCTTTAAGCTCATTATTAAGTGCAATTATAGCTCTGGGATAAAAACTATTCAGAAAACGTGTGGTCCGAGTCTTAATTGTTCTATATCCATTTATTAGAAATGGTATGAATTCCACCTCTGAAGAGTTAGCGCTAAAGGGAAAATAAGGGGAGCAGGAGTTGAGTTAAGTTGAACTTTTGAATCCAGTGGCAAAGGCAGGAACTACACTCACAGCTACTCAGAATACAAGTGCAAACAAAATTGCATGCTCTTCTCAACAGGCTCCCCCAGCTTCCCATTAGGACTGTAGTGGTAGCAAGTTCCACAGGCTGATGTTATTACAGTAGTTCTGAAATCCTCAGCAGGGTTTCCTGCAGGAGATACATGTTTCAGAAATGACATGAGACAGGGCTTAGAAGTACCTGGCATTGTGTTGATATCATGAATCAATGGTTACTCTAGAATATTAATTTTTTTTTAAAAAAAAGTATATGTAGCTGAAAGATTGGGCCACAGTAGAACCCAACCCATACAAATTGAAGATATGCACAGAACATTTTCTTACAAAGGTGTTGTACCTTTCCGAGCAGATTGCTTTTTTCAGTACAGTACTTGATAAATGGAAATATACACCTCGGAATCCACCCTGGTGGCCAATAAGGACAAATGGAAAAAAGTTGAGTAATAATTTGTCAGTTTAGCTAGTTAAATCTCCCTTAGTGAGCTCCAGGTTGTTTGCAGAATCTCTAGAACAGTGGTCCCCAACCTTGGGCCTCCAAATGTTCTTGAACTACATCTCCCAGTAGCCTTCACCACCACCTCTGCTGGCCAAGATTTCTGGGAGTTGAAGTCCAAGAACATCTGGAGGCCCAAGGTTGGGGACCACTGCTCTAGAAGACAAAGAAAAGGGTGGAGGGAAGAAAAACTCCTTCTACAGCAAAGAAAATTAACTGAAAGACCAAATAGCTTCCTCCCTTTAGAATCCCTGAGTCAATTTACAAGTATGCAATCCTTCAAAAGAGCTCTGGGTTATGAAAGTGAGATATTGCTTCTGTGCCCGTGATTCAAAAAGCCAGCAGGTGGTCCAATATCGTGCCCACATTACCAATAAAGAAAAAGGATGCCAAGCTTGACAGAGTGAAGGCCAGGCTGAATATTGACACTGCCAATGTCAGCAGTCAATATGGTCTCTTGTGTTTGCTACTATTCAGAAAGAGACACCAAGCAGGGGGAAAACCCAGCATCTAACTTCTTGTTTTCTTCAATTAATCACTTCTCATCTAGACAAAAAGCAGTTATTATGACTGTTTTCCAATTGGTTCTCTAAGAATTTATTGCCCGGGGCACAAAGCAATTTGAATGCCTAGAAGAAATGTGGTTTCAGTTACAGTGTGTTAATTCAGACACCTGCCTTTTGAGCTAAAAATCAATTGATCATTGTCCCTTTGAGGAGTAAGAGGAATTTCAGCCAACCCTGTATTTTCACCCCTTGCAACCCCCAATACATGGTACTCCTAGGCATCAGTATCCAAAAGAAGATTTTACTCATCTTCCTTTCCTTTAATACTGTTGGTTTTACATGCCATCAAGTTGGTTGTTCCCTCTAAGCTGCATCAGCATGGTGCACCCGCAGCCAGTATTGTTGCCCATTTGATTCCAGTCGCAGCCAGAACTTTGCATGCACTGAGCAGAGTTTCTGCTGGTGGAAAATTGAATGTAGTTAAAGAGCAGCATACTGTATGCTGTTCTTTAATTCCATTCAGTTTTCCACCAGCACTGAGCTGAACGCCCACCCTGCCGCAACCGAAACCAAATGGGTTGGTGACACTGGCTGTGGGTGCACTGGACCGATGTGGCTGTGCAGTGAAGAGTGAATGTTATTGGCAACCCTAATAAGGTTTGTTGAACTATGTGAGATGCTTAAGCAATACTGTACCATTTCGTCACCCAGCCACACAAATTTCTGTGGCCAAATCAGGATCTGAAGCCAGGTCACCTCCAACATTCTGTCTGTTACAATACACTGGCTCTCTTTCATGAAGTATTCAGGTCAAATATTCTTTAAGATATAACAGCAGGCCACAATACATCTAGATTTTCTGTTATGTGCTGTCAAGTCACATCCAATGTAATCCTAATTCTCTGAAACTGAAATCTGAAGTCAGAGCTACCACCTTCTTACATACCTACAGCCAGATTAAAGGCCAGTTCACACATACATGTGATTGATCATCTGAGTGAATGAGCAATTATCAATTAGTTACTATAAGAGGAGATTTCATCACAGTGGGTGGTGACAACTCAGACATATATGCTTGAACAGAAGATTTCTTCTAGCCATTTAGATGCTTTGTGCCCCAAACAATCCATACCTAGAGAATTTGCTGAAAAACACCCATCACTGTGGCTTTGAATTTGGGTGAGAAATAATTAACTGATGAAAAATTTGACAGATTCTGGGATTTTCCATTGCCTGCTGTCTCTTGTGAATGGTAGTGAACACGAGAGGGGATCCTATAAACTGTTTTAACTGCTGACATTTGGGCTGATATTCCATAGCATGTGCTAGATAAAGCTTGGAATCTTTTTTCTGGAAACACTGTAAAGCAATGTTGGACCCTTTCCTGGCATTTTGAGTTGTGGACATTGAAGCAGTACTATACATTAAGAAATCAGAGATTTTTGAAGAATTGAATTTATTAGTTTTTAAAGCAGAAAACCTTGATGTTAGGAAAGTATGACGGCAAGAGGAGAAGGGGACGACCAAGGATGAGATGGCTGGACAGTGTCATCGAAGCAACCAACATGAATTTGACACAACTCCGGGAGGCAGTGGAAGATAGGAGGGCCTGGCGTGCTCTGGTCCATGGGGTCACGAAGAGTCGGGCACAACTAAACGAAACGATGACGACGAAAGCAGAAATATAACTACACACATTATATCCATATTTCCATTGGAAGGAATTTTCTGGTGGTCTAGACTACTGGTTCTTAACCTTGGGTTACTTGGGAGTTTTGGACTGCAATTCCCAGAAGCCTTCACCTCTAGCTGTGCTGACTGGGGTTTCTGGGAGTTGCAGTTCAAAAGCATCTGAGTAACAAAGGTTAAGAACCACTGGTCTAGACTACAGTATATTAAATACTATTTGTATCATTATCAGCAACAGTGGAAATAAAATATTTCTGATTTCTCCCCCATCCCACTCAAAGGCCCTGTGGAATTCCCTTTTGTCTTGGGGAAATGGTTTGAGGCTAGGAAATAGATTAATTTCTGACATTCACTGTTGCGGGGATGACTTTACTAGAAGTTAAGGACTCTCTCCTGTCTCACGACCCCTGCTACCTTACCCATGATAAAAAATAGATTCCATGTGAGCCTTGGAGCCTTCAATAAGAAATCTGATATTTTTATTTCCAAAAGAATCACTGCAGATGACATCATCAGACTTTCCTGTCATAGCTGCATAAGCAGGATTCCAATCAGTATGGTATACATCTGGAACTAAGTCCCATTGAGTTCAACAGGTATTCCTTCTGAAAAGGCTCATACATGATTGGATTGCAAGTAGTTTTGGTACTTCTATATGGCCAACCCAAGAAGAAAGTGCTTTTGAATTCAGATGTATATAGAATGTTTGTGGATACTTTGTGTGCAGGTGAACCTGCCTGCCACTATATTCAGAAGGAAGCCAGGTTGGGTTAATTGATACCCACTCCTGAGCTGCAGCCGTAACACACATTCTTGCCCAGAAATAAAACCCATTCACCTCAGTGTGACTTAGGCCAGACTTACTTCTTGAGAATAAGCCCTGTTGAACTGAATGGAGCTCACTTTGAAGTATACAAATACAGGCTTCCTCTTTTGAAATACCTGTGAAGCAAATAAATAAATGGAAAGGGAATTAATTGCTTCAAATTGCTACAGAATCAAAACATTCTGTAGAAGCTCTCTGTCTCACTCTGTGTCTCCTCTCCCACTCCTTTCTCACTCTAATGTTTCTCTGTCTGTCTGTCTTTCTGGATCCTCCCACTTTTCTCCAGTGGTTCCTCTTCCTCTGGATCCTCCATCTCCCTCTACTCTTGCTGTGGATCCTCTCCCACCCTGAGATTTCTCTACCTTTCCCCCCTCTCCAAATCCCTCATGATCCTCCTCCTTCTTGCGCGTTCTCTCCCTCCTTCCTCCCTCCTTCTCT